CCATACCCATACCATACCCATACCATACCCATACCATACCCATACCATACCCATACCATACCCATACCATACCCATACCATACCCATACCATACGCATACCATACCCATACCATACCCATACCCATACCATACCCATACCATACCCATACCATACCCATACCATACCCATACCATACCCATACCATACCCATACCATACCCATACCATACCCATACCCATACCAAACCCATACCATGCCCATACCATACCCATACCTTACCATACCCATACCCATGCCTATACCCATACCTTATCATACCCATACCACACCATACTATACCATACTATACCATTACCATACCATTCCCATACCCATGTCGTGTGCAGCGCGGTTCCCAAATTAAAACTGTATTCTCGATTTTAATTCTGTAGTATGATGGAAGATGATTCTGTAGCTAGTTGTGGGTTTGTCAACATAAGCTCGTAATAAATAAATTACATTTCAGTCGTCATCGATGAGCGAGTCCGTGTACGGCGGCGTGCGTGACGTGCGTGACGTGCGCGACGTGCGTGACGTGCGTGACGTGCGTGACGTGCGCGAGCGGGACGCGCCAGACGACGTGAAGCCGCCCTACAGCTACGCGCAGCTCATCGTCCAGGCCGTGGCCTCCGCGCACGACAAGCAGCTCACGCTCAGCGGCATCTACAGCTACATCACCAAGCACTACCCCTACTACCGCACCGCAGACAAGGGCTGGCAGAACTCCATCCGACATAATCTCTCGCTCAATAGGTGTGTGCTAACTAACATCCAGCTTTATCTGTGAATACTTACATACATATCTTGAGAGATCTAATATTAACGGGAAATCAGAAACAGTTGAGAACTAAAATGTCATCAATTAGCCTTATGTCAAATATCAGGAGATAATAGAAGCTCTTTTAGTTCTCATGTCGTTGAATAGTTTTGTGGAAAATTAACGGGGTTATTTGAAATTTTGAAAACAGATGTGTGAATGATCACTGGTGGCTGCCTCGTGCAATATTGTAACTTTGCATTTGCAGGTACTTCATCAAGGTGCCGCGCAGCCAGGAGGAGCCCGGCAAGGGGTCGTTCTGGCGCATCGAGCCCGCCTCCGAGATGAAGCTCATCGAGCTCGCGTTCCGGCCGCGGCGGCCGCGCGGCGTGCAGTTCCGCGCGCCCTTCGGCCTCGCCTCCCGCAGCGCGCCCGCCTCCCCTGCGCCCGCGCCCGCCTCCCCCTCCGCGTCCCCGCCCGCCGCCGCCGCGCACGCCGCGCTGGCGCGCCCCACCAGCGCGCCCGGCTCCCCGGGGGACGGCGGCGTGGGCGCGCTGCTGGTGGCCGGACACCACATCACCGTCGTCACCAACGGAGCCGGCGGCGAGCGGGAGGGTGACCACTTTGTATATTTGCGCGCGCCCAAACCCTCACTGCCCTTTGATTTAATTTATTGTCAAGTGACAGACAAAAATAAGAAATTGCTGTTGTAAATATTTTATATACACAATAGGGTTATTGCACTGTATGCGCGGTAACACAATTAATAATTAATGATGCGTGAGTGCAATGGCTCATACGCTCTTATGACGCATGTGTCTATGGCATAGACTGCGGGTTCACAGTTCATTGCACATTGCCAATTTGGTTTCAGTTGATCTTCATATAACAAGATAAATACGTTCTTACCGTATTGTATGAACCCGTGTTATATGACTAGAAATAGAGCAAAAAGGAGAGTAATTATTCTGAATGAAACATGCCTGTATGTATTTCTTTACCTAATAAACATAAAAAATAAGCAGGAAACATTATGTTATTCCCATACATTGTGTGTTTATAGAACTTAATGTAATTTTGTAAATAAATTTCAACAAAAATTTCTCTTCGTGCTGTCGAAGTACCGTGTTATAGGAAGGTTACTTGTATTCCACGTCCCGTCCCGTCACGCCCCGCCCCGTCACGCCCCGTCCCGTCACGCCCCGCCTGGCGCGGCCGCTCGCAGCGCAACATAAAGCTAACACGAGGACGTGTTCGTTACAGAGAAGTACGTGGTGGGCACGACGTCCGGCGGCAACCTGGTGTCCATCCAGGAAGAGGAACCCGCGCACCTGGTCATCCACCAGCACTCGCCCTACTAGTACGTAGCACCGCAGTTACATTCGCTATACACTGTTCGGCCGCTCCTGTCGTGCCCCGGGTCTGCACTCATTACGCTAAATACAAATTAAAACTTATCTACAATGCGTCTTTTTTTTTTATAGCCCTTGTAGGCAGACGAGCGTACGGCCCACCTGATGATGAGTGGTTACCATCGCCCATGGGCTTCAGCAATGCCAGGGGCAGAGCCAAGCCGCTGCCTACCGTAAACTATTATACCGACTACTACTACTACTACTACTATAATTTACACATTATTTAAATGTAATCTTTTTTTTTCATTACCGATTTTGTTTAACGGGCTGTAAAACGGGTGTACGCGGGTGTACCGGAGGGACGCCGCCCCGTAGGGAGGCCCAAGTACCGCTGGTCTGACGCTGTGGAAGGAAATTTACGTGAACTACAAGTGTTGGACTGGCAAGGTGTTGCGCAGCGGGATGAATGGCAAAGCTTATTGTCAGAGGCCAAGACCCACTTTTAGTTCATAGCGCCTGCGCAGTAGCAGTAGTAGTAGTAGACTTTTTTTAACACTGGCTAGGTTCGCATTTACGTACGTTTTTACATTTACGTACATTTACGTTCGCATATAATGTATCCTGCAATATTCGCAACACTGCTCACCTCGGGTGTCTTACTGTGGGCCCAGCGACGGTAACGTGTGCGTTTGTTCCAGCGCGGCGGACGGCGAGCTCGTCATACACGACGCGCCGCCGCACAAGCGGAGCCGACAGGTACCTGCAGTCCATGGACCGCCAGCGACAACCCGGCGCCGCGCTGTACGCTCTGCTTGTTCCAGGTGGAGCTAGAGGACAGACGCGCGTATTGACGCTAGTCCAGCGGAGCCCGCCCGGGACGCGCCTCGCGCCGCCCCACGCCGCCCCACGCCACCCCACGCCGCCGCACGCCGCCCCACGCCGCCCCACGCTGCGGGCAGGCGAGGCCTTCCCGACACGTTCGGTCACAGTTCCCTCTCACGGATAAACTGATGAGTGCAATGTTACACAAATATTGTATTTTGTATTTAGGCTTAGTTTAAATATATATTAAAACAAAATATGTATTCAATATACTTGCGTCGCCACTGTCGCCCCCCCCGCCGCGCCCCACCCGCCGTGACGTCACACCGACCGTCCACACGGGTGTTTCATTTATATGTTAAAAGTTGAATTAACTTTCCTTTATTTATAACCAACTTTCAGTATTAATTTTATGTACTTTTGTAGAAAAATAAATACTTTTGTGTATTTCGCTCCGACCCAAATATGTAAATATGCATTTTTCTATTATTATCAAACTGTAGGAAATGATTTGAATAAAACGAGGTGGGGTGGGGTCATTCTCGTTCAACCGCGCCCGTGTCGCGTCCGTGCCGCGTCCGTGCCGCGTCCGTGCCGAGTCCGTGCGGCGTCCGTCTCACGTCTGTGTCGCGTCCGTGCGCGTCCGTATCGCGTCCGTGCGCGTGTGCCATTCGTGAATGAAAAACGCTATAATTATTCGTGCTATTATCAATTTATGTGAATTTGCTACGAACGTTTGGAGGACGCCGCCCCGGCAGTCCGCACTGCACCGCCGGCCCGGGGCTCCCGCTGCCGGCGCCGGGCCGCGACCGCTCGCTAATAGTAAATACCTATTTAATCGATTCTTTTATAAACTCTTGTCTGAATGAAGATTTTTAATAAGTTTTTAATAAGTTTCTATCGCGTGAGAAGTGTTCAGAATGGATTTGTTTGTGAAAGTGCGCGAGGAGGCGGCACAATGTAATCGAAGACACGTTTTTCTATTGATATATTTATCTAAAATTTACAAAAAAAAAACGAACAAAGTTTCGAGAATTTAATGAGAATGACATTAAGCAATATAAACATTAAGGATAATATAATCGATTAAAGTATTCGATTGTTGATCGATAGCGGAATATTGTGATATTATAATATCGATAACAATCGGCGGTTTGTGATGAAACTGCTCTTATATTGTATTGACTTTGTATAGAGTTGCACAAGTGTACCAGTGAACCCTCGTATGACGTCACCGACAGCTCCGACCCCGTCGGGACTGTCCGGGACAACATCCACTAATGTTAGTTAATGATAAGAGGCATTGTGAATGCCGCAGTTAGTCGGTGCAGCGACCGCGCGCGCCGTGCTCGTGCCGTCCCGCTCGCACGCGGCGGCAGCAGGCGCGCGTGCGAGCGAGACGGCCGCAGCGCACGGCCGCACCGGCGCGGAGAGCGTGTCGGTGCGACTTGTATCCAGTTCCGCGTTAAATTTATTGACAAAATTTAAATAAACGTATTCTTTCTCCGCAACACGACTTTTATTTATTCGCCTTCCTCCAGTCCCCGGTTCACTATTTTTATAATATGATTAAAGTTCGTATTGCACTAACGGGAATTAAAATATGTTTGTATGTACATGTACGTACATAAGGTAGGTATTGCGATTAACGCCCAGACTAGATAAAATTTACTTTCACTTTACTTCGAGTCAGCCGCGCCACGCGCGCACGTCACGCCCGCACGTCACGCGCGCCAGCCGAGGCGTCGGGGCGCAGCGCGCTGTGGCTCAAGGGGGCCGCTGTTGTACAAACTGTCAAACGAAATTGGAAGTACCGTACAATGGGGTAAATAGGGACAAAATCGACCTTCAGATTGAATTTTAAAATAGTTCCAATTAAATAGTCACTGCTCAACCAAAGAAATAAGTTGAGTCTTGAACGTACCTAGGTGATAAAAACCGTTACATAATTTTAATTATTAATTTCAAAGAAATAATCGGTAAAATAATGGCCGTCCCAATTTACCCAGCGTCCGGGGTAAATTGACACGGTTAAGGGTTAAATTGGGATATTTGTAAGGGTTGTCAACTCGCAGTACTGCGATATATAGGTAGGTGCCATATAATTATTTATATGGACCGAAATGATGAATACAATCCATAATTTAAAAAAGTATGTGCATGTTATATTTTAGAAAATTATTATTTAATTTCCTTAAAAATCACAACTCTGAAACAAAATGATAAAATAGAATAAAAAATAGAAAACAAAAGGACTGGAAATGCAATAATACAATTTTATTTAATCAACATTTTCAAAATAATCTTTGAGCAAGAGTAAGATATCAGGTGAATAAGATAAAAAAACAGCTTTATCTGATTACTGCCAATAATAACAAAAATAAAAGAAATTCTTTCTAAGCTAAATAACTAAACTCAATTAATTCACTCACTCATAATTGGA